GAGGGATCTTGGGCCGAAATAACCTTGTCCCGGGTGAAGTAGGAGTGATTTCCCGTCACCAGCGCCCAGGGTAGCGTGGGGCGCTAGCCCTGGTGCTGGGATTTTTGAGGTTCTGGAAAGAAGGCCACAGGTAGCGCCCCACGCTACCTGTGGCGCTACACTGTCCCACTTTTTCGTTTTGCTCCATTTTTGCTTCAACTCGTGCACTTTCGTCCCACATTGCCTCCGGATGACTCTTAAACATAAAAATACCACAAATTAGCACAAATTATTAGATTACATATCCGAAATCTACGAAACATGAGTTAAATGCGAGGCAATATGCATATAAATATACATATTTTAAGCCGAATATCAACACCCCACACTTAGACTCTTGATCGCTCTCGAACTATGGAACTATAACTACACCCCAACAACGTACCTATCTCAACTAGGGAAGAGCGCTTCAATTTTTTAACCATACACTCTACCCTTGACTATGGTTGATAGCAATAATTAAACTGTAGCATATGCAATCCCTTACACTTCCCTTTACGTATGCCATTCTTCAAAAATATTCACAGCAAAGATAACGTGCTCATAACAATCCTAGCCTCAAAAGCCGACTCAATATCACAATGCACTCATGGCTTGAACATCCAACATCACAGAGAAGTTTAATAACGTTACATATCCCTCATGAAACCATATGTCCTCACAACAAGAACAAGAGAGTAAGTTGAATCCACACATTCGAATCTCATGATCAAATATAGTTTAAGGACTCACATATATCAAAGAAAATCTCTCACTCTCACATAGAAGTCATATGCATGCAAAAGGTACTATAGGCTTGCCCATAATGTAAATCTCTACTAATGTAGGCTCACTCGATCTAAAATCAATTAGGACTTTATATGGTTGTAATGTGGGCTAAGGGACAAGTAGGATATATTTAGGATTAGTGGTTCACCCTCCTAAGTACTTTAACACATCACATAATAAACTTTAAGCGCAACTTCTTCAATCTACTTCAATTTCACAAAAAAGATGATTCCCCAAAATTATTCCCTCTTTCTTTAAGCACTACTTTACTTTATATCCCCCTAGCAAGAACAAGACAACAATTTATTCATCTCTATCTTTTTTCCTTCTCTTTTTATTTTAGATTTTTTTTCTCAATTTTCGCTAGTGGAGTATTATTCTACAAAATAAGTGCACCTTTCTTTCTTTCATTGGTTCCACTAGAAAGCCACCCCACACTTAGTCCTTACTTATTCTAGCGTTCAATTCACAATTAAAGTGCTTTCAGAGGTAACGGGATCAAAATAATGTCGATTAAGAATAAAAGGGTATAACCTCGTAATGTGAGTGCCAATTAAAAGTCTATAGGCTCAAAAGGGTTTACTAGAGATCAATTTTATTTGTGATAAGCAATTAAGCTAAAAAAGATCAAAGAAAGCCTAAAATTATTTTTCAAACCGAGCATCACCTAAAATTTCGCTTCAACTCACATACCGGGCAAGTTCTAGACTCAATTACAATAACATGGACTACACAAACCTCACTTCACACATGTCACATGACTCACTAAGGACGATCTCATTCCGACTCTCAAACAATGCAAGTATTCACGCAGCCACAAGATATTAAGCATTAAGCACAATGTGAACAATAGTCAAATAAAAGAGACATAGGCGTCACAAAACATGCTATCCAATTTCATCAAGGCATCATGAACAATTTCAAAACATAGGGAAGATCCTCCACATGCCAAAGTTTAAATACGCTACTATCAAACAAGTCAAAGGAGCCTAAGTTCATCAATCTTCCTTCTTTTATTTCCTAAATTCTAATTTACTAAAAAAAAGAAATTACAACCCGGTTCAAGCTACATCCCATAAAAAAGAACCGAGGCACAAAGAAAAATCACAGAGGATTATTATCTAACTAAAACTAACTAGAAACAAAAAAATTAAATTTTTTATTGGACCTTAATCCCTCAAGAATGCTGTCCACAAAATCCATCGTCGAGAAAAGTCCGAGCTTTTTTCTGATTTTTTTCCTCAATTTTCGTTTTTTAAATGTTTTTTAATTACAAATATCAATACACTAAGAAACAATAGTACAATTAAGCTAGGATAGCACATAAAATTACCCATATAATCTCCTCACTCCACACTTAAAATTGTACAATGCCCTCAATGCACATAATATATAACAAGAGGGTAAAAGAGACTCCCTGGTAGGCCAAAAGCCGAAGCATTAGCAGCTCACGGGATATTCAGAATTCTCCAATGTATGATCCTTTGTGCGGGCACCCCACACTTAGTTTCAACCCTCGCTTTTGCACATGCCTATTGGCTTTGATTCCATGATCATACTCCTACAAAAATACAAAAATAACACTACAAAAATAATACAATAATAAATAAAAAAAGTAAACAAAATAAAAAGAAAAAAATAGAATTGGGTTGTCTCCCAACAAGCACTTGATTTAACGTCGCGACACGACTTGTACCACTTCACCACTTTTTCTTCCACTTTGACGATATGAATTGCGCCCCCAATTTTGCATTAATTTTTCTATCACGTTCCTGGGGCGGTGGTGTGAAAATAAAGGAACCAAGCAATAGATGTCGCATCTTGCACGTCTTGGTCCTTAAGCGAGGTATGTCATTTTGTCTCCTTGGCATCACAAATTTCAAAATATATGCACCTTGTTCCTCATCTATTGACTCATCCATATGCTCGAATGGATCAATTCTTGTGTCACCAACTAAACACAATGTTGAAAAGTGTTTAGAATGAGGTCTAATATGCTCAAACTCTAAAAACGCTTTACTTTTAACATCCTCACTTTTGCACACTCCCTCTACCTTGGCATCATTAATAATATTGTGGTCGAATAGTTAGATTTCCTCTTTCAGCTCTACATGCTGGCCAGTATTCACAATAATTGGTTGTAGGGCATCGGACGCCTCAACCTTTTTATTCAATTTAGCCTGCAGGTCATCGATATCTGAGCCAAATTGATCTATCTCTTGCCTGAGCTCTGTTCTTCCTTCTATCAGTTGTTCTATCATATCTGAAAGGCCATCACAGAGAGACTCATGAAATTTTATCAGATGAGCTTGTTCCTCTAGCCAAGATTGGCTCACTACATCTGCTTCTTGTGGGCACTCTCTCTCTTTAGCCAATTCTTCCGCCTCAGCTTTCATTCTCATGATTGCTGCACTAATTCTTTGTATAGCCTTTTGATTTTCATCTTATTGCTCGGCTACTTGCCTCATCATGTCCATAATACGAGCAACGCGTTCCATATCTTCCACTTCATTGCTCCTATCAAACTCATAAACATTATTAGAAACATCATAATAAAGGCTCAGAGAAGGGTAAAAAGAATTAGGACAACCATCCCAATGGCCATCTTGACAACCACACATATTACATAAATTCCACCCATAAGATTGAGATTCATAATTTTGCCACAAGTGTGGTCCTTCACAATATGGACAGGGATCACCAAAATAAGTATAATCAATATTCGACCAATTCTCATTTCAATATGCCATCAAAAAAAGATAATAAAATATTAAACAAAACAAAAATTTAAAAACTTGAATAGATAAGAAGTAAAAGTGTAATCTAGAAAAATAGTTAAATTCCAAGTCCTCGGCAACGACGCCAAAAACTTGTTGCTCCCAAACGCACACGCAACTATACATGATCGACAAGTAATATAGGATTTTAAGTCCAGATATCGTACCTACTGAGACTTATGATTAACTATCAACTAAATTAAACCCAAACAATTAATCTATTCAAGTGAATCCTAAAGTATGAATATTTAACTACAACTAGTCTAGAATAACAAACTAAGAGATTAAAGGAAGCAATTTAGCGAATATTAGAGACGAATTCAATGAGAGAAAATATTATAGAGCTATGGGTTAGAT